CCCCCCCCCCCCCCACCAAGTGTGTTGTGTGTGTGTGTTTGAAACGTTGTGTGTCATATTTACCGAATTTTGTTTGTTTTCGTAATTGTTTTTTACTTTTGGTCCGCTTTGTATTCTTCCATTTTCTATGCTGAATCCAACCGTATAAAGAATGTGAAATTTGGATAAACGGTTGGAAAGTTATATGCAAAACACTGGACAGAGGTCGAAACTGGAAAAACAGAGAAACGAATCTGCCAAAAAACCGACCGGTCGTTACTGTTCAGGAGACCGGTCGCACATGAATCTGTCCAAAAACGACCGGTCGCGACTGTTCATTTTCACTGTTCACAGCACTGTTCACGACACTGTTCACGGATGATAAATAGGTGATAAAAGGGTGATAGAAAATTCTGTTTGTGTTTTTCTTTAGTTTTCTTGTGTTGTTTCATTTCTTTTACACTTCTTTACTCATTTTTAGTTTCCATTTTGCAAAGCATTGATCAATAAAATTGTCAAGAACATGATAAAGTTCATTCTTTATACTGTTATCATGTTCATGCTTAATAACTTAAAAACTGTCAGTTTGTTTTCTTTAATTTTCCTGCACGAGATTTGTTAGGTAGAACATGATATAATTAAAGCTCTAATACCACATGTTAATCCTTCTAAGCTATAACACATTGAACACTAACCTGTGTCTGACATCATGCTTGGAGCAGATCAAGTTGGGCAAAGATGTAGAAGATTCTTCTCCTTAGAACTCGATCCATATAGCTTTAACTCTTGACGGGGTGAATTTCTGATTAGCTTGGGTGTATCGGTTCTAGGAAGGAGCCTTCAATTTATTTGCATCTCTCTAAGTGTCTTGCTCAATCACTACAAAAGGACTGCAAGCATTGATCAATAAAATTGTCAAGAACATGATAAAGTTCATTCTTTATACTGTTATCATGTTCATGCTTAATAACTTAAAAACTGTCAGTTTGTTTTCTTTAATTTTCCTGCACGAGATTTGTTAGGTAGAACATGATATAATTAAAGCTCTAATACCACATGTTAATCCTTCTAAGCTATAACACATTGAACACTAACCTGTGTCTGACATCATGCTTGGAGCAGATCAAGTTGGGCAAAGAGGTAGAAGATTCTTCTCCTTAGAACTCGATCCATATAGCTATAACTCTTGACGGGGTGAATTTCTAATTAGCTTGGGTGTATCGGTTCTAGGAAGGAGCCTTCAATTTATTTGCATCTCTCTAAGTGTCTTGCCCATCAAGAAACACTTAGAGATATCCTTCATGCGATAGAATTAATGTATTACAATCCATATAGAACTAAGAATCTTTAAGCCTATGTAAACAACTTAAACACTAATAACAGGCTGCCATACGAGATAGAATTTGAGCCCTTGATAAATAATAAGTCCTTGCAATCCCTCATTGATTAGAAGATCTGTCACATCCTAGATTGGCTCCACCGTAGCACTATATTGTCCGCTTTGGGCCCCCCTCTCTACCCTCACGGTTTTGTTTCTAGGAGCTCACGACCAACTTCCCAGGGGTCACCCATCCTGGGATTGCTCTAGCCCCAACTCGCTTAACTTCGGAGTTCCCATGACTCCAAAGCCAGTGAGCTCCCAAAAGGCCTCGTGCTAAATGGAGGCGGCCATGTACATATAAGGCACATCACCCTCTCTCCTTTGGTCGATGTGGGATCTTACAATCCACGGCCCTTAGGAGTCCGACGTCCTCGTAGGCACACTCGCACCACACGACAAAGTGGCTCTGATACTAAATTGTCACATCCCGGATCAACTCCGCCGTAGCACGATATTGTCCTCTTTGGGCCCCCCTCTTTGCCCTAATAATAAAATTAATAACGAAAAACAATGAAAAAACTTATTTTTTGCACACGTATCGAATCATGTAATGGGATTTGTATTTATACAAATTGTACTTTGAACTTGGAATGGATGAAACCAATAAATAACCCCTCACGTGCCATGGAAATAGATGTATTTATTCGCGTATTCCTTCATATGCTTTGATTGCGTAGGTTGCATTTAAGCTGCTAGTCCAATTTAAGGTCAAACTATCTTCGTTTGAATTCTTTTAGCTTAGAAAGCATCTTAGGTTACATGGCCTTAATTACACTGATATGTTTACTAATTTGTAATCGGGATGAGGATGAATTGAATTGAGGAGAGTTTGAATTCAGATTCCTATTAAAGTTGTTTACTAAACTATATGGAATGGGGGTAGGAGTGGTATTGATTCCTTATAAGTTGTTTACTAAATTCCCATGAATCAAAATTGAAACCAAATTGATTACTAAAATGCCCTTGTTGTTGGGTTAAAGTAGATGGTAAATTTGGAATTTTAAAAATTGTGTGAGGATATATTGGGTAAAAGATGGATTTCTAATGGGTTAGTTCTCCCATAATTAGAATACCACCTTCCATCC